TCGGAGAGCACTCTTTAAATATCCAAAATGGTCAAGCCGCTTGTAAATGTTAAAAAATGGTGGCGCCCTCCAGACAGGCAAAAGTCCACAGCTCAGCCCACCTTTCTCTTCACTGGTGCTTCGCATTTTATTCCCCAGCCACTAGAGCATTCCTCTGTGCAGTCCCTGGCTAGCAGGGCTGATTTTTACGTTAATTCTTAGGTCTTACCATCACTCAGCACTCTCCAACCCACCTGTGCCATGCTATCAGGCTTGCTCAGGATCGCTGCCATACAACAGCTCCGTATGTCTCCTTTTTTGGTATTTTCATGCAAATTCTTCTGCTAGTTGGGGTTTAGTCCACTTCTATATCCTTCCCTTCCAGACTCAGGGGTCCAGGATTATCTTGTGTGTCTGTGTTAACTGGTTCCCCTTTTCTTCGTTGAAGAGGGTCTGTACAGTCTTTCTCCCTATTCTGCCATCTTACCGGAAGTCTCTGAGGCGCAACCTTCTGCACCTATACAGAAGCTGAAGTCTTTGGAATACTCTTCATGTGAAGGAGAATTTTTTTTACCATCTAAATTTTCTATAAATATTTGATGAGTATCTCGACGGCACATAACAACAACATTCTTATTATGTTAACTGACATTTTTATGCATGCCTTTTATGAATTTAGCACTGTACTAGATCTTATGGGAAAAATAAAAGAATTATATGTAATCCTTGTCCTCAGGAAATTTCACTATGATTGCTAAGACAAATACAGGAATAATCTAGAAATACAAGTATATACTGAAGCACTGAAGTGAGAAAGTATGAAAATTTAGATAAATAATTGAAGAGTTAAGAAAATTTATCTGAATATTTTGTACAAAGCAATTTAAGCCACTGAGTAACTACTTAGTTTTTACACGAATCATCTTTAATGTTCCAAAATGTTTTATTCCTAAATATAGTAGTCCTAAAATATTTTAGTATACTTACTTTCTAAACTTACCTCATTAATCACGAATAATTTATCTTTACGATCCATTTTAGTATCTGAAAAAAGGAAAATTAGAGAAAAGGAGATTTCAAATTTACTTTAATCAAATCCTACAGCATTATCAAAACAGGTTTACAGACTTATGTTTAAAGGAAACTTTATTATTTGGCAACTGATTAGACCAGAAAGTACCTGATAACTCTTTCAAGTATTGATTCTTTAAGTATAAAGAACTAAGTGATTAAAAAATGGCCCTCAATAATTATAAATTATGGTTTAAGGCAGTGTTTTTCAGATGGAAGTATTCTATAAATCACTTTTAAAAATTGAAACTTCTCACAAACTGAAGACCATATTAAGAAAACACTTAACCCATGGCCATCGAGTCAATTCTGACTCAAAGTGACCCTACAGGCAAAGGAGAACTGCCCCACAGAGTACCCAAGGCTGTAATCTTTATAGACGCAAGCGGCCTCACCTTCCTCCTGTGGAGAGCTGGTGAGCTCGAACCACTACCCTTTCCATAGGCAGCAGAATGCTTAGCTACTGTTCTACCAGGGCTCCAGAAAACAATTAAGAAACGAAAATCTTAATTGATGAAAGTATCAATTTTGAAGCATTATTAGCTGATTAAAAACTGGTTTGAGGTTATTACAGACCCCAGTTTAAGAAATGCTGCTTTAAAAATAAGAATTAAAACCTATGGCACCCCCCCCAACACAGGCACAAAAACAGCTGCACAGTTAAGAAGAAACCTTCTGCACTTGCCTGTAAGATAAACCACTGTTAAAAAAATAGTATGGCTAAGTACATTGATGCCAACTTAATGGTGTTTTAAATTCTACCTCAGGTCCATTAATTAAAAAAAGAAACAAAGAATTAAAAAACTCAGAAAGCAACACCTGAGACTACTGAACTATTTAGAAGGATAAACCGTTCCATTTATCTCCTTATCTCTGAGAGAACTCTAACTTGAAGGTATTCCTGGACCTTCAAATATTTTAAGAAAGAAAATGTCTAATGCATGGTAGAATTTCTAACAAAATGTTAACTGAAAAAAATTGGTTGTTCGAAGGGTAAACTACTCAGATTATCATGCTTCACTACCTGATGAGGCTGAACAAATGAAGCGTTCTTATAACTGGATACACACATACACAAGGAGCCCTGGTGGCACAGTAGTTGAGTGTTTGGCTGCTAACTAAAAAGTCACCAGTTCAAATTCATCAGTCCCTCTACAGGAGAAAAACGTGGCAGTCTGTTTCCATAAAGATTTCCAGCCTTGGACACTCTGTGGGCCAGTTCTCTGTTCTACCGGGTTGCCATGTGCCAGAATTGACTCAACAATAATGAGTATATTCACACAAGTTTATACACATAAAAATCTTAAGTATATGATATAAAGGCACCTGCTTTAGAATGAGGCATTAACATTCTTAAGTCTTGCATTAAGTGTCTTGTTCTGAAATTTATTCCTCTGGAAGAAAAGATGAGAATGCGTTCCTTATTTTTCCACTTGCCCTGAAAAAAAGGAGAATTAATGTTATGATTATTAACTCTCATATAGAATTTATTTATTTAAGAGTTTATAAAGTATCTAGTTTTTAAAACAGTCCACCATCCTCTAATGCATGAAGACTACCCCAGTGGCCACTCTGCTCTGCCTCTTCTCCCAGGTGTTTAATTCAGGGAACTGAGGTTTCACCTTAAACACAAGGCAAAGAATATAAACTGACTGAAGTATCCATTGTCATGTTTCTATCTAGACCTCAATTTAGTACATAAAACAATTTGTTCAAAATCTCTCCACTCCAGACAGGAACCCCTCCTACTGATGTGGCCAGCTAACACGAGGATCACCTTCTCAAAGCTCTGCTTTGATCATATCCTTACCTTCCAGAGCTTTCAAAATAAAGTCCAAAGATGTTGCTTTCAAATCAGATTCTAAAGTACATTTTCATTTCTACCTTACGACTCCCCCAATCAACTGTCCACATATATCAATCTGGCTCTACTCTTTAAAAATTTCACCATGTTCCTACTTCAGCACCTTTGGTCAGGTCTTTTTCTGTTAAGACTGCTGCCTCCCATTTTTTCAACATCAAAATCCTGGTGTCCTTTTGCGATCCTGCTTCAAAGGCTAATTTCTCCTTCATGCTTCCTTACCTGACTATCCCAGGAGAAAAGTAAACTCTATGCTCTGCACCACTACAGACCTTAACCATAGACACTACGATACTTCTTTTTAAGCTCATTAAAGGATAAGTAAGGTACTAACATTCACTGAAAACCTACAAAAAGTCCAGTTTATTCTTCATAAAAATTAAATCTGATTTTCCTCTTCTTAAAAGTATAGGTGAGAAAAGAGCTCAGAATGTCACAGCTAGTGAACAAAAGGGCTAGAATTGAAACCCATCTTTCATTCTTCAGCACACACCCTTTTTCTTAAGACTTGTCATCATACCAAACAGGGTACTTGATGTCATTTTTTCATACTTATCATCCACTATGTGCTAGGGTACAAAGCTAAACTCAAAGGACATAGAAATGAACAAAGGCAGCTCTTTTCCTCCCAGTAACTGATCTAGCTTAAGGAGCTCTCAGTTAAATGAATTAATAAACAAGTTGTGCTCACCTTCTGAAGAATAAAAATCATCACTTTATGTAAATTACTTCCTAGTTTCCTTCTAAATTCCAAATTTTAAGGAGGAAGAGTTAACATTCTAGTCATTTTTGCAATCCCAGGGCGAGTGCTTGGCAGATTGTTTGCTGAATACAGGTAGACCCCAATTTACCAAGGGGTTCCATTCAGATGATTGTGGTAAGTCTGACTTAAGGAGATAACTCATTAGCTGATCTGTATGAGAAACATCAGGAGTGAAATCTACATACAAACCTCAAATATTAAGCTATACTTATTTCACCAAAAAGAGCTAATTAAATTTTATCACTAAAGTTTGTTAATTTTTCAAAAATGTCACTATATTTTGAGATGTAACCTGCTTAAAAAAAAAATGGATCAAACTAAGCAACAAGTTCAAGTACACTGAAAAAATTTCTATTTTGTGAGGACCAAAACAATTCATTTCTTCCTCAAACAGTGATTGTTACAATGATAGCAACAATGTATTGCAAATGGCTTTCCAATACTGACATTATTCACTAATTTGTGTTTGTAGTTTGTGATTTAAGCCAAAAGCATGCCTTTATTTTAAACATGACAACCTTCAAATCCCTGTAAATAGAAAGGTTTTCACATTTATCATGTTAAAGTTACACCAACTGCTAAATCTATCCATAGCAAATAGAGAATTAAATGATTTAGGACTGAATAGTTTGATACAGGGAGCTCTGGTAGTATAGCGGCTAAGGCACTTGACTGCTCCCCAGAAGGCTGGCGGTTCAAACCCACCAGCCACTCCGTGGAAGGAAGATGGGGCAATCTACTTCCGTAGTGATACTGCCTCGGAAACCCAAGGAGGGGTCGCTATGAGTCGGGGCTGACTCGATGGCAAAACAACAACAAGAAGTTTGATACAAGATAATATACAGAGCCGAATGATACAGAATACAGTAGCCATTTCCTCTTATACTTTTCACCAGTAGCTTTGCACCCTAAAAATATATTCTGGCTACAGAACTCTGTTTATCATCCAGAAACTCCTGACATGAATTTTCAAATGGTCCACTGTGATATGACAACCACTTGGCTTTCTTTCAATCCAATAATTAACATAATTAGAAGAAACATTCCACAAGCAGAATCTGTATTTCTGTTACTCATGGGGTCACCAGATGCAACAATTTCAGGACTAGAATGGATACAGAATGTGGAAAAAAATTCTGTTATATTTGTATTGTTATTAGTAATATCAGCAGTAGTAGTACAATGATTTGCACCCATTAAACTCAAGCATTCAAAGAAGTGTCTTCTGATTCATTACTCTTTTTTAATTTTTATTGTGCTAAAAAAACACTTAACCTATATTTAGAATAAATTCAACTGCCAAATTTGGAGATAAGTACATAACTGATGTAACAATAACACCACTTATTGGTGAGCAAGTTTGTTTTGGGAGTCATAACATCATCAACCTGTTTATTTCCTTGATGAATTGTTCAAATTCCTTATACAGAGATCTGTAAATATTCTAATAAAACATAAATGCAATGTTCTGAAAAATGCTTTTTTTTTTGCTTCCTTGGAAAATAAATTTAGAAGCACTCATTTTTGCAGAACAGACACATATAGGCATAAGATAAATTAAGAATTTTTCAGTCTCTTAATGTGCCTAGTATCTCACTTATGAGCATATATAGTAATATCAAGCATTGTGCCCCACTTGACAACTTAAAAAAAAGTGAAATTCACTTGATACATAAATGAAAACTTTTCATCTTAGATAAATATTCCTATTTCCAGTTTTTTTTTGTTTGCTGCTATTGTTCTTCTTAAGTGCTGTCAAGTCGTCTCCGACTCATAGTGACCCTATGCACAGCAGAACGAAATACTGCCCCGTCCTGCTCCAGTTCCATGATCCTTGCTATACTTGAGCCCACTGCCGCTGCCACCATGTCAATCCATCTCATTGAGGGCCTCTCTTTCGTCGACCCTCCACTTTACCAAGCATGACAACCTTCTCCAGGGAATGGTCCCTTCTGACAACATGACGAAAGTATGTGGGACGAAGTCTAGCCATTCGCACCTCCAAGGTACATTCCAGCTGTACTACCTCCAGGACAGACCTGTTAGTTCTATTAGCAGTCCACGGCACTTTCAGCATTCTTTGCCAACACCACAGCTCAAAAGCATCAATTCTTCTTCGGTTTTCCTTATTCATTGTTCTGCTCTCACATGCATATGAGGTGACTGAAAATACCATAGCTTGTGACAGGCACACCTTAGTCCTCAAGGAGACATCTTTGCTCTTCAGCACCTTAAAGAGGTCATTTGCAGCCAATTTGCCCAGTGCTATATGTAGTCTCTTGGAAGGAAGGTTGGGCAATCTACTTCTGTAGCGCCTCGGAAACCCAAGGAGGGGTCGCTATGAGTTGGGTCTGACTCGATGGCACATAACGACAACATACATAGTCAAGTGTCATGACTGCTGCTTACATTGGCGTCAATCGTAGAACCAAGCAATGTGAAGTCTTCGATATTTTAATCTTTTCTCCATTTATTGTGATGCTGCTTATAGGTTTGGTTTTGAGGATTTTTGTTTTTATATTGAGATGTAATCCATACTGTAGACTGTATTCTTCATTCTTCATCAGTAAGTGCTTTAAGTCACCTTCACTTTCAGCAAGCAAAGTCATGTTGTTCAATGAATCAAATCTATTCTTTAGATGATCTCTAAATTCAGGAGGGATATATTCAAGATCATACTTTGGCTCTCTTAGACTTGTTTTAATTGTC